CGTCACCCAAAATACCTAAATCTAAAATCCCAAAATCCAAATATCTAATTCATGATTTCAATTTCCCAACCCAAACGATCGCCAGCCATCATCGTCATCGCTGAACGGTTGGGTTTCGATTGGAATTGTACGGTGGTTCAAATGGTGGTGACGTGTGGTTTATGGACGTCAGAATCGACCGAAATCATCAAAGAACGGTGTCGATATCGACAAACCTTTGAATGCTTCTCCACGGCAAACTGTGACATATTACGACAAAATGTCAAAAGAGGTTTGATCGTGGTCGACATCGGTGTTGATGACGGTGGCGGTGATGGTTACCTCTGGTCGACTAGTAGTTATAAAAAGGGGAAGGGAAAAAGGAGAGAGGAGGGAGGGCGACCGTTTTGGTTTTTTTTTTAATTTTTTTTAAATAAATTCTTAAAATTAATAGAATGTGACATGCGTTACTTAATGATGACTTTTAACGGCGGATAACATCTGAGCACCTAAAATTATAACGTTTGAAACATTAGACACTTATTTTTAGTAAAAATTCTTTAGGGACTAAAAAGTTTTTCGAGGCATAGTTCGGGCAAATATTTTTGTATTAAGCCATTTTTTTAAATAAAAATATAAACATTTTGAAATAACCTCAAATCTTTAAAAACCTTCATTTCAACCCCACACCGGCCGTCGCCCTTTGCCACCGACGAAGCTCCACCTGACCTCATCTCCCCCCAATGATCAAAACCCCCCATGAAATTGTGATCGATCGACGACGAATCGACGTTTTATACCCCCTGAATCCTAGAATGAAAATTGCGATCCCATACGATCTCGATAGCTAATCGACAACAACTACGACGATGTATGACTAGGAGGATGGTAGGGACTACGTCGAAGGCGGTGGTCGGAAAAGGCGGCGGCGGCGGCGGATTAAGTATAGGATTTGGGTATTTTAGGGTTTTTTATAATTTAAGAGAAATTACGGTTTTTTTTAAAATATGATATATATATATATATATATCAAAATCACTAGATTGTGACATGTGTCACTTAACGGAAAAAAATTAATGTCGTTGATGGCCCGGGCACCTATAATGGTAATGTTTGCAACGTTAGCCACCTGGATGAGTCAAAAAAATAGTTTAGGCACCTATTCGAGAATTGAGGTATAGTTTGGGCACTTAGGTATTAAGCCTTATTTTTTTTACCTAAAAGATATTGCAATCTACATTTAGGTATAATACAACAGACGTGAACCTCATATGAATTTTGTATGGAATTTTTGGTTAAAAAACATGAACCTTGTACTGTTTTGTTGTTGTTCAAAAGCATGGATAATCGAGGTCTTTTGGATTGGATTGATTAATTAATTAATACTTTGTAGGAGTAAATTGAACAAAATTGACAATAATGAAATGCTTTACTTGGATGGCTTGATGCATTTGTGTTTTATCTATTGATGGCTTGTTCCTTCTTCTGAGGGATCTTGATACGTATATTACACTTTCGATCACGAGCAAAGAAGTAATGAATTCAAGGTAGAGGAGTTGCGCTTAATTCATCGGACTCTCCTCCAGGTCAATCGCAAAATTAGACTCTTTTCCAATGTCTTTGTTTCTCTCTTGAGAGGCTTAAATTTAACTTCCATCACGGTATAAATGGCAAACTATCAGTCTTTCAAGCCAACCCGAGGATTGCGACAGGTGATCCATTGTCCCCGTTTTTGCTTGTTCTCTGTACTCAAGGCTTATCGTCTTTGCTGCAACAAAAACTCAATCAGGGACAGCTTCGTGTTATAAAGCTTTGTCTGGCCGTCGATGAATGAGTTGCTGCATATTCAAAGGGCTTTGTAGAGCTACTCTCAAGCTTCTGGTCAGTTAATAAACTATCATACATCTAGTCTTTTCTTTGGTTCTCAGATTCCGGTTGCTTTCCGAATTGAAACATGCCAGACATTAGGTGTAGAGGAAGTATTGGATCCGGGTTTTTACTTGGGTCTACCTCTGATTATTGAGCGAAACAAACGTCAAGCTTCATTCGAGAGTTCAGGGTTGGTCGAAGAATTTAATCTCGTATGGGGGCAGTGAGGTGTATATTAAATCTGTTGGTCAAGCTCTGCCTACTTACGCTATGGGTTGCTATCTTCTTCCTACAAGTCTTGTTTCAGACCTCAATCGGTTGCTGCGTGATTATTGGTGGACAGGACGAACTGATGACCATGGGTGGCCACTTTTATCTTGGTCGACTATATGTCAACCTAAAAGAGTGGGAGGCTTGGGGTTTCGAGATCTCCATGATTTTAATCTAACTATGCTAGGGAAGCAAATTTGACCGACTGCTTCAAAACCCGAATTGCTTGTTGAGCCGTCTTCTTGAGTCTAAATATTTTCCAAACGGAGATTATGGACTGCTACTCTTGGCAAACGTCCTTCATGTGACAATTTCAACGTTTCGGAAGGGTTATTTTTGGCAACCAAGTATTGATAGCAAGGTCCAGGTTTTTAATAATATTTGGGGTGGTTCCAACTTCCAAGCCGATCCGTCTTAGTTCTGTCCATATTGATAATGCTGATCAACCGGTCACTTGTGGAGAATTCATGCAACCGGGTGCAGCAACCTGGAACGAGAATATTATCAGACAAGTATTTCCACTTTCAGATGCCGAGGCTATTCTTTGTTGTCCGATTGCACCTATTCACAAAGATACGCAGGTTTGGGGGCACCATTCTTCTGGGGTTTATTTGGTTAGATCAGGATATGAGTGGCTGCGGCGACCTCAGTCTGGTGTTGTTCCTCCATCTCCGTTATGGCTTTTTCTCTCCCGGCTTCCTACCATGCCGAAACTGCGTGTGTTTGGATGGCGTCTAACAACCGAGAGTCTTCCAGTGGGCTCTCGTCTATGGCAAGCAGGTCTGAGCGATGGGAAATTTCCTTTTTGTAGTGATTGTTTTGAGTCTGCTTTGCATGTTGTTCGAGATTGTGTCGACGCAGCAGCAATTTTAACTGAGGTGGGGTTCTCGGCTGCTTTCATTCATACTACTCATACATCTGTCCGGGAATGGATGGTCTTTTTGATGCAATTTTTGACACTTTCTCATTTCGTTTATGTTGTGGGTATTATACTCTCTTGGTTGAGAAGAAATGTGATTATTCATGAATCCAGGCTACTTCCAGGTTGGTGTGTGATCAATGAATCATGTGCTTTTCAAGCTGCTTATGCACAAACTCATGTTGCTCCGGCTCCCTTCTCCATGCCTCATCGGCCCTCTAGATGAAACAGACCCCCTTGCTCGACCATAAAGATAAACGTTGGTGGTGTCGCTACACCATCAGGTGTGCTGGTGGTTGGGATTCTTGCTTGAGATGACGCAGGTATGGTGATTGCAGGACAGGCACTTTCTTTGGAGGTTAGAGGCGAGCCTTGTATCGCCGAGGCTTATGCAATATCCATCGGCCTCCGTTTGGGTCTCTCTTTGGGTGCTCCACAGATCATCATTGAGAGTGACTCTGCAAACTTAGTCCGTCAGCTAATGGGTGGAACATTGGATTTATCGGAGTCCCGTTTTCATCGAGGAGGCTCTCCTTTTGGCTGATAACCCATCCATGCGAATAACATATATCCGACGTTCTACAAATTTAGCTGCTCATTCTCCAACTTCTTGGGCGTGTCACTCTCGCTCATCTGTTTCTTTCGCTGATGATTATCCTAGTTTTATTCGCTTTATTGTACTGACTGATGCTATTTCTGGTTAATGCAAATTCAGTGTATTTCCCCAAAAAAAACCTGATAAGCTCTGTTGATGACAGATTTGGAAGGTGACCATGTGGAATATCTGGTCGAAGATTAGACCCTCCGATAATGGACAAGAGTTGAAGTGAATGTGAAGAGGGCTGCTTAGGTCTTTGTTTACAATAGCTTTCCATACCCACCAAGTGCGTGGGACAAGTGTAGAGTACATAGAGACAACCCACGCATCCAGAATCATGCAGATTATGGGGCAAATTGGTAGGTCCTTATGTGTCTCTCTAAACAGGGTATGTAGCATCCTCTCCTCGGCACAAATACCATTCATCCATAGGTACAAGGCACTCGGAAATCCCTACATATTAAATGTGTAGCAAGTTTATGATATTACAGAGGATAGGAGATCCAGGTTCGCAATATTTCTCACAAAGGCAGACAACCATCATGCGTACAACCTGGGAATTCCCCTTGAGAAGTGCATTATTGGAAGTTTTGTGCGAATCATTCAGCGCTATTGTTTATGATAATGTACCGAGTTCCCATTTTGTTTGTGATGTTAGATATGGCCATGTTTTCATAAGCTGGAAGACAGACTAGTTTACAGTAAAATTAAAATGACTCTCATAGAATGGAGATGGAAGGTAAGTTCGACACAAATGGAGATTGTCAAGGTCTACACAAAATTAGATTTAGGTAAAAAATTCTCATCCGAATTGGGATTATTAGTATAATTTCTCTAATTATTACAATTCCCTCCATTCTTTCGATTATCATTCTATTTTCACCAAATAAATATAAAGGAAAATTATGTCAAATTGGGTCTGAACAAGAATTTACTCCAAAATTCGGGGCAGGACAGTCCGTTGAAAGCTTAACATTTTGGGTCAGGGTTGGGGAGCCGCCCCCATAATCTCTCTTTCAAAAAGAATGTCATCAATACAAATTAAAATTGGAAAACAAAAACATGACGTAATTGCAGCATGAAGTGTTATTTTTACCAAATACCAGTACCAGAGACAGAACTAGGTGGTAGGAAGTAAAGTTGCTGAACCCAACACAACAGGTTTACTAAAACCATGTAATACTAATGTTTCATAACCCTTTACTTCACAAGGTATTACAGTAACTCGTATTTGTACATGCATAAGTCCACAACCATCAATTCTTAACCATCCGTAACTACATATCGCCCCACCCCAGCTCTCTACATGCAAGGAATACTATATATTCCAACCGACTTGTAGTTCATACCAGTAATTTTTATATATAATAAAAGTTCTTTTTTCTTTTACCTTCTTCTATCGCTGCGTCTGTGGTCACCACACGTTTGTTCTCTTCTGCCATGGTTGTCTAGGTCCTACGGTTTTCTGGAAATTATCAAGGCACAAAATTGGGCTGGGGATGGGACATTGCATCACATTATAATTCCTCCAAGCAGCAACCGTTCCTAATATCTGCTTGCACAAATACAGCATTTTATGGATCATTCATTGATTTCTTTCGCCGCGAAAGCCAGACAACAAGTTACAAAGGTATTCAAACACAAAACCAATGTCATCAAGTGACATTATGCATATTCAAACATCTATTTATGTGTAAATAAGCAATCATAAAAGCTATGACCTCGACAGTTTGGGTCATGCTGTACATTAACAGAACTGCTTACCAACTACGGCACCTTATTTGCACTAAAACTTTTTAATAGCTTAAGTAATACATCGAAATGATAAAGAAGGAGGCTAAAAGAGACGCATATAAAGGATATAACAGCCAAAAGTTAGCGCATATAAATATAGCTAAGGCAACTTACCTCCTAACACGCAAATCAAAACATTCCAAGATTACTTCCAGCATCAATATCTACAAATAGTAGGATCTTGTAATGGAAAAAAAAGGAGAATACTTCATCTAAACAACTTGAGACGAAATATTTGCCATCAGTAGTGTTCCCCGAAATCCTTCAACATTTTCAACATTCAATTTCCGGTCAGAAAGCTCATCTGTGCACCACAAAGGATCAGCAAACAATGTTGATTCATTAATTAAACACTTGGGTGATGAAGCTTAGAATGGAAGTAAATATGTGTGCTTGTGCATGTAGATATATAAACTACTCATATGTTACTTATTATATACATAGAAGAAATATATAATATGTAAAGTAAAATCTTAAAAGAGAAAGATATAGTAGAAATAACTGAAATAATAAACAGATGCATAGTTTTTTTTAGAAATATTAATGAAAAAGAGTTAATAATAAATAATTAAAATTTTGTTTTATGATTTTATTTAAGTATTTCCCCTTAAGTTGGTGTCACATAACTTGTGACTTCTAACTCAGCCAGGGAATTAATAATAAGTTTTGGTAATAACTATACTCCATAAAAAATAGCATGTGAAGTTGAAATTACTATTATACGCATTACCAATAAAATGTTGACATGGAATATGGTCACAATCAAATACAATGTTTAATGTCAAAACAATGTAACCAACCGCTAGTGTGTGTTTTGATTGGGGTGGGGATTGGGGAATGGAATCCAACTACTATAGGAGAATATATAGCAAGTCATATATATTGGGATATTAAAACGGCAAGAGCCAAAATGATACCCATCCACATAATTTTCCTTTTTGGAAAACAATATTCCAGAATCAAAATACTTTTCAGCTTGATAGATTTAACGCAGCTGAAGCTCATATCGAACAGCAGCAGCATTCCACATGCCTACTAGACTTACTTTTCCATCCTCTGGGTAAGACAGTTTCTATAAAGCTTTTTTAACCTTCTCAGAACGAGAAAATTTAACATATTTAGGTTTCCTCCTATACTTTTCCTTGTTTGTTAATGTCATTGAATTTCTTTTTTCTAAAAAAATCAATATAACAAGAACTCTCATGTAACCATGTCAGGTTCTTATGCACAATGTATTCATGCTGGTTGAAGTTTTAAGAGCACTAAACTATTGTAGAAATCAAAATGATGTATGAAGAATTGGTAAAATCCCCGATAGCAGAAAGGATTAAGCTAAAGACATTAAAACAGAAAACAGTTTCTCTAGTTTCTTTTAAATCACATCCAACTAAGGGGCAAAAATAAGAGAAGTTACCGGCAATATCTCGATCTTCATGGATTTCAGAATCTTTCACCCAAAGCCTATCTCCAGGAAATATATTCATGTCAGCTAGGGTAGCAGTTTCCTGATCAATTATACGGGATCCTTTGTGAAGTATTTGATTTTCCTTAACAACCTATATATAGTGATTGTCAATAAGACTGCTATTGAAATAAAACCTATTTTCCTATAACTGACAAGAAATGCTTATGACAAATGCATCTAAAAGAAATACAACGAAAATAACAATTTCATAATTTCAGGTAGACAATCGAGTAAACCTTGTTAGAACAAATAATATTAAGAAATTCTCTACAGCTACACTTTCAAGCAAAGATTGACATTTGGTCCAAAAAATCAAAGGTTGCTATTAAAACCAAATTAATGGCAGGGTCAAGCCAACATGCAATGAACTCCGAAAAAAACTTCATTTTCCACATTGAATAATTATTTTTTCAAATAAGTGATTTTAAATTCCACAAAGCTAATTGGCAACAATTGAGTAATTAAGGAAATTAATGTTGCCTTGCAAGATAACCTTCTAATATTTTATAAGTAAATAACATATCGTAATAAGAGTGGCAAGATTGTGAAGGTCAATGCAACAATATAAATGGTTTGTTGAATTTATTAATACTGCGGGCTGTTTCTGAAGGACTATTTTCTGGTTTGACAGTTGGCAAGAAGGGTCTTTCAAGCTCACACATTTACAGTTTGCTGATGATTTAATTATCTTCTGTGGAGCTTCGAAAACACAGATTATGAATGTGAAGATGGTGCTCAGAGTTTTTGAGGTTATGTTAGGGCTGCAACTTAACCTAAAGAAAAGCAGTTTGTTTGGGATTAATATTTCCCAAGAGGAGGTTCAGACCTGGGCAGCTTCTATTGGTTGTTTGGTTGGGAGTTTCCCCTCTAATTACCTAGGTCTCCCATTAGGGGCAACTAAGGATGCATCTGCTATTTGGGAACCGGTGGTGCAGAATTTTCATACTAAATTAGCGGGTTGGAAGGCTGCTACACTTTCATTAGCAGGGAGACTGGTTTTGATCAAATCGGTTCTGTCCTCACTGCCTACGTATTTCTTGTCTATGTTCAAGATTCCAGTTTCAATCCTTAAGGCTCTAAACTCGATCATGTCTAATTTTTTATGGGGAGGGGGAGGGGGAAATGGTTCAAAGAAGATTCACTGGGTTAAATGGGATGATGTATGTAAACCTAAGAACGAGGGTGGTCTGGGAGTCCGGAATCTGACTAGTATGAATAGAGCATTGCTAGGGAAATGGTGTTGGAGATTTGCAAATGAGAGACACTCTGTTTGGAGGAATTTTATCTGTAGCAAATACAACATTGATTCTTCAAGGTTACTGTTTGATAGCAAGGTTCCTCCTCAATCTTCTTGGCTTTGGAGATCGGTGGTTAATAATCATTACAAACAAGACTCCTTTGGCTCTAAGTTTCGAAGTTTGTGTAGTTTTTATGTTGGAAATGGTAAGCTTATTCGTTTTTGGCAAGATAGTTGGGCTGCAGATTATCCGCTTCAGTTTCTTTTTCCTAGATTGTTTTCGGTTTCTTCTAATAGATCTGGTAAACTTTGTGAGTTTGGGGAATTCCTTCCTTCTGGCTGGGTTTGGGATGTTCAAGTTAGAAGAAATTTAAATGATTGGGAGGTTGAACAATGGTGTAACTTGGTGAGCTTCATCTTTCCCTATTCTTTGTCTAAAGATTCCAGAGATATTTTACTTTGGAAAAGCAGTGGGGATGGTGTTTTTTCAGTCAGTTCTTGTATTAAAAGTTGTGCTTCAGGATCAGATGATGTTTGCTTCTGGAATAACATTATTTGGAGAGGTTTGGTACTCCTAGAGTTGAATCTTTAATGTGGCAGGTTGCGCTTGGCAAGCTAGCTGTTAATTCCGAACTGATTAAAAGAGGGGTTCAAGGTATCGAGGATGATTTATGCCCTCTTTGTAAATTGGTTGAGGAAACTTCCACGCACTTATTCTTTACATGTTCGGTTGCATGGGCTTTGTGGTACAAGTTTTATAATTTTTGGAGATTTAGTTCTGTGTTTCCTGCTGATGCAAAAACCTTTCTTACTGCTTGGGATGAGTTGAAATCAAATTCTTCTATTTGGACTTTCATTCCTGGGGCTATCATTTGGACCATTTGGAAGGCCAGAAATTTTATTTTCTTTGAAGGGGGAAAGCTTGATCAGTTAGAGTTATTTTTCTTATCACGAGTTAGGCTGGCTTCTTGGTTTCTAGCTAAGCACAAGGACGTTTCTATTCATAATGATTCCTTGATTATGGATCCTTCATTAGCAGATTCCTACTCGCCCTATAGCTCTATGAAGTCTTCCTCATTCCCTTGGGGACCTCCCCCTTCTGGTTTTTTTAAATTGAATGTGGACGCAGCCGTTAGTAGTGACTGGAAGAAATCGGGTATAGGAGGTATTTGGAGGAATCATTCAGGTTCAGTCCTAGGTTCTTTTCAAGAGTCAGCTGGTCCGGGACCTCCGACTATGATCGAACTTAAAGCTATTCAGAGGGGTATTTCATTATATGCTTCTGCTCAAGGGGGGGTCAAAGATAGGCTGATTGTTGAGAGTGATAGCAGGGTTGCAGTAGACTGTATCAACAATGTCAATTCATGCCCAGTTGTTTATGCTTTCGTTGTTAGTGATATAGTTGACAATCTTAGATCTTTGGGGGGTTATAAATTGGGTTGCTAGGTCATCTAATATGGACGCCGATGCTTTAACAAAGGCTGGAATAGGCTAATTTTTATGTTGTTTGCTGTTTCAGTTTAGCATTTGATTCCTGTTCGGGTGGGATTTATAGACTGTTGTAAGGGTTATTTCGAAGAGATTTATCGAGGTTGTAATCTTATTTTCTTTTATGAAAATCTAAGGCGCTCTTTTCCTCCTTCCAATGATTAAGGAGCTTCTTTTCAAGATCCATTAATCAAGAAGGAGGTTTTTAATGAGGCCTTCTAATCTTATCAAAAAAAAAGATTTTATTGGACTCAACAACAATACTTCACCAAAAGCATTGCCTTAAGCAAAGAAATTGTAGGAAAAATGGTTCATAGGCAGAGAAGACTGTCAGCCCCAATAAAAGTTGTCTGAAACATGAGAACATGAAGTTCTAGACAAAGGGGATACATGTTCACAGTTCTGCAATATAAAGATATATAATTAATTACGAAAAAGGAACATACAAAACAAGCACAAGTATTAGAAAAACATCATAGTTAAATTCCACAAACTTAACATTGCGTACCCCAAGTGATTCCCATATCATTTTCAACTGGTATATTGATGTAGCTGCAGAAACTTTTAAATTTACTAAATTTCCACTGTTTGTCCTCCGAAATCGCTTGAAGGTTCGTCGATCAGGCTCAGAGGACTCAGATGCTTGTAATATTGACTTTGGTGCTTCTTTTCCACGTATGAGATATACATAAATTTCTTCATCAGTATAGTTAAGCTTTTGCATCAACTCACAGCTTTCTCTTTCTCCAATGCACTCCTCACATACCTGGAAAATATCAAGGAATCCAAACTCTGGAAAATATATAAGAATACTGGCAGCTTAAAATGCAACCATGCGTAGGGCAACTTTTACCATAAATCATTCCCCGGATTTGATGCAAGTAAATATGAAATTTTTTTTAAGCATTATTAAATATAAAAATAATCTTTAAGCACTATGTTCAATCCTTTCTATAAAAATTGTCTCATCAACAACCAGGACCAGCATGTCATAACTTGCCCCGTCCACAGGGCATATGACATAACACCCAAAATGTTCTATGATCCACTGAGGCAACCATAACAAAATAATTTCTGAAAGCACTATTTACATTCATTTAAATGAGGTTGGCAAGTCCTCCCAAGTCTCAACAGCCTCGGCAGATGTTACAATTCCACTCTAGCCAGTATTACAATATTCAAGTTCTCATAACATCTAAGATCCCTAAGAAAGTGGAGATGCAACAAGCAAACAGAGGAAGGGTGAATGCTATTAAAGAGCTGAAAGTGGGGGGTCAACTTACTTCGGATCCTGTCGATAGTAAAGCGCATGTGGTTGATTTCTTCGAAGAGGCGTATAATAAGAAACCTACAGTTGAGGTAGAGGCATTGGATTTTAATTTTTCCAAGATCTCAGAGGATCAGAATTCGTTTTTGGAAAGACCATTCTCAGTGGAAGAAGTATGGGAAGCAATTTCGTCTTCGGATAGCAACAAGGCACCGGGCCCGGATGGACTGACAATGGGGTTCTTCAAGAAATTTTGGCCGGATCTTCTAGAGGACATTATGAAGGTTTTCTGTGATTTTTATGAGGGTAAACCATTCATTCATTACCGACAAAGGGTAAACCATTCATTCATTACCCTAATCCCGAAAAAGTTCAGTTCGGAAACTGTCGAGGACTTTAGACCGATAAGCCTTGTGGGAGTATTATACAAGGTTTTGTCAAAGGTGCTTTACAGGAGATTACGGCAATGTATGGACACGGTTGTTGGTCCTTCCCAATTTGCTTTCATCCCGGGTAGGCAAATTATGGATTGCTCATTTATCGCAAATGAGGGGATTGAATGTTGGAGGAGAAAAGGCCATGAAGGAGTTGCGTTTAAGGTTGACTTCAAAAGAGGGTACGATTCAATTGATTGGAGTTTACTATCGAAAATAGTGGATTGCATGGGATTTTTTCGGAAGTGGGGATCTTGGATGAATATGTACGTTTCTACGGCTTCCATCTCGGTGTTGGTGAATGGTTCTCCTTCGGTTGAATTTCATATTGCGAGGGGTCTCCATCAGGGTTACTCTGTTTCTCCGCTTCTATTTAATTTGGTTGGTCAACTACTGAGCTTGATGTTGTCAAAGTCTGTGAGGTTAGGCTTGTTTATAGGTTTTCAGATTGGGAGTCCGAGAGATTCGTTCGAGCTATCTCATCTTCAATTCGCTGATGATCTGTTAATTTTCTGTAATGCTTCAATTAGGGAGTTAAAGAATGTGAGGAGGGTGCTTATGACCTTTGAGTTGATGTCGGGGTTGCAGATTAATCTTTCGAAGAGCAGATTATTTGGTATTAACGTGAATGACGAGGTCATTAGTGAGTGGGTTGCAGCTATTGGGTGCTCTGTGGGTTCGTTCCCATCGGATTATTTGGGTTTACCTCTTGGGGCGAAGAAAAATTCGATTTCCTTGTGGGATCCGGTTATTCAAAAGTTTTACAAAAAATTGACGGGGTGGAAGTCAGCCTCATTATCCTTAGCTGGAAGAATCGTGTTGATAAAGTCGGTTCTTTGCTCTCTACCAATTTACTTCATGTCGATTTTCAAATTGCCGAGGTGTGTTCTGAAGAGACTTAATTCAATAATGGCAAGGTTTCTTTGGGGAGAGTTGGGAACGAAGAACAAAATTCATTGGTAAATTGGGCGACTGTTTGCAACCCTAAGGCTTTGGGAGGGCTCGGGGTTCCTAATCTCGATCTTATGAATAGAGCTTTATTGGGTAAATGGACTTGGAAGTTTGCCAATGAGAAGAAGTCCTGGTGGAAAAGAATAATTTGTTGTAAAAATAATATTGACCCGAAGTCTATAGGGTTGGAGAGTTCGGCCTCTTATAAAACTTCTTAGATTTGGAATGGGGTTGTGAAGAATTGTTGCTCCGAGGTTGAGTTTGGAGTATGTTTGCGGAGTAATTTTCAACTCAAGGCGGGCAAGGGGGACTCAATCAAGTTCTGGCACGATACTTGGTTGGATGGACTTCCATTGAAGATTCGGTTCCCTCATTTGTTCACATTATCAAAGAACAAGGAGGGGAAGATTGCTGAATTCAGGACATCTAACTCGTCAGGCTGTTTTTGGGATATCGCCATGAGAAGAAACTTAGTTGAATGGGAGATGATACAATGGAATGAGCTTATGGCTTTGTTGTATAACTTCAGTCCTACACCTTTGATTGATGATAGACTAGTATGGACAGGTGAAGGAGATGGGTATTTTTCAGTGAAATTGTGCCTTAAAATTTTTCTTAATAGAGTTGTCGATTGTTTTCCGTGGGAAACTAACGTGTGGGCTAGTGCGGCTCCTCCTCAAGTTGAATCTTTTGTTTGGCAAGTGGTGCACAAGAAGATTGCTGTCAAAGTATAGTTATTAAAACGTGGGGTGTAAGATATCGAAGATCCATTGTGTCCGTTATGTGGGTTGGTTCAAGAAACGGTTTCTCACCTATTCTTTTCTTGCAAGGTGTCTTGGGGTTATGGGCTAGCTTTGTGCGTCGTTGGGAGGCTTCCTTTGCAATTCTAGAGTGTCCTAAAGCTTTATTTTCAGTTTGGGCAGATCTTGTACCCAAATCAAGTGTTTGGGGGTTCATCCCAGGAGCTGTTTTGTGGTCGATTTGGAAAATGAGAAATGATATTGCTTTTAATAAAGGTAAATTGGATTGTGTTATGTTATCTTTTCTATCGAGGTACACAGTGGCAGCTTGGTTTTCTTCGAAATTTTCAAATCGGACGGTCTCTTTTGATAGCCTTGTGGGGTACCTTGTGTTAGTTGATCGTGTGATGTGCTCTGCTAAGAGGCCTTTAAAGGTAGCTAGTTGGTCTCCTCCTTCCGGTTTTGTTAAAGCGAATGTTGACGGCGCTATGGATAAGTGGTGGTCGAAGAGTGGCATTGGTGGGATGATTAGAGATGAGAAAGGAGTGATGCTAGGTTCGTTCTCTGAAGGAATTGGATCCGAACCTCCTATTATGGCAGAGTTGATGGCGGTGAAAAGAGGTTTGAATTTGTTTCTGGATTTGGGGATGTCGGCAAACCGAAGGCTTATTTTGGAATCCAATAGAGCGGTGGCAGTGGGCTGGATAAAAAATCCAGCTAGTTCCACCCCGATGTTCCTTTCCTTAGTCAAAGATATTGCAGAGATTGTGGTAGATAAAGGTGTCATTGTGCGGCATGTGGTGAGAGCAGTTAATTGGGAAGCGGATCAATTCGCCAAATTAGGGATTGGTTAAGTGGAGGGGATTTATTTTTGTTGTTGTTTAGATTCTAGGGAATATTTGACAGCTTAGGTCATTGTATAAGTTTGTTCCTAGTTGAGTCATATAAGGAGGTTGTATTCTGTAGGGTAATTATTTATGCTTAATTGTAGTGCATCTTTGCACAGTGTTGAGGGCTGCCAAGGGTTCTTGGCGGTATTGTGATCTTTTTGCACCTGGGTATTATGCAATAAAATTTCTTAGGCACTCTTTTCCTCCTTCCAATGTTCGTCAAGTCTTTGTTGCTTGACGGATATGAAGGGATTTTTAACGAGGCCTTCTTTATTATAAAAAAAAGATCCCTAAGAAAGTTCAAATCATGTGAATCATCCTTGCACTTAAAATTATGAGGAAACTTCTATAACCGGAAAGAGGAAAAAGCAATATTTCCTTCTTCCACCACCTACAATCATATTTTCTGCAGTCTCTGCTTGAATGCATAAGAACTCACTTGTTTATTCGAAGAAAAATAAATAATTAAAATATATATAGCATTGTCTCTTTTCAATTGTTTTTTCTAGTACTTCAAATTCAAATCTTTCTTCCGTGCAAGACTATAGTCTTAGCTAACTATCATCAATTCTAACTCCAGAAAAAAATCCAATGTTCATAAATTCTAAAACAAAATAGCTACATGGATCAGAAAACAGGAAGAATTTCAATATTACCTCCGGGCAGGTCCTAACCACTGGCTGTCTAGACTCGATCTCATTATTTACTTCATTTGAAAGATCAAGCTGCTGCTCACATATTGACATGTCCCCACAGCATCCAGCCAAATCATTAGAGCTACTGAGCTCAATCATAACAGATATGCCATTCTCCTCAGTACCACCCCATTCTTCACAAAAGCATTTCCAGTCATGCTCAGTGATAATGGTCAACCTATCTGTCTAAAATCCAAAGATGTGAGACTTTAAAATTTGAACTAATATTTTAGATGAAGAAGCAAATTGGATAGTGCAAAATATATAATTAAAAATAATAAATAGCACTAGCCACCAGTAGTTATCATTATCTTCAGATTCAACTAATGAATGTGTGTGTAAATAGTAGCACACTTACAGAAGAACCCTTCTGGAAAAAGGAACCACGTTTGTAAGCCACTTTAGGTGGCCTCTCCAGAAGGCGTACATGCTGGTGACAACAAACGAGGAAGAAGGATATTACAACCATTATCCTCGTGACATAAAATAGAACAAATAAAAAGATCACCAACTGAAAGCAATATAAGCGTCAATAATCTGCAGATAAAAATCTAACTTCAGGAGCAAATTCCTCACCATAAGGGCTCAAAATCAATTTTAACTATAAAGAGGTTGTTGGGTCATTCATAAGTTCATTGTACTGCTACATCAATAAGGCAGTCCATGCAGTAGTCATCTCTGGCAAATGTTGGCCCCCCATTGTACTGCTTTGCACAAACACCATCAAAATGAATCAGAGGTGATTGACATCACACTGGAGAGGCAAGCAAGAGATCCAAATGGAAAATCAAGAATATCTACACATGTACAAAACCACTTGCATAACAACTATTAGTTATATGATTTGACAAGAGACAAAATAAATAAGGTAAATTTGCAGCAAGAAGGAAAGAGAAAGTTATTATAACAATCACTATATAGCTATGGGGGCAGTAGAAAAGTATGCAAAGCTTGCATCAATTATCTATTCTTCTAGGAAATTGCATATCGTTGGAAGAACCAATTGTAGGATGGAAGTGAATATCATAAGGTGGAATATAAGCAAGCTAACTAAAAAAGAAGGTAATGAAATAAGAACTTTTGTGAATAAACTGCACGTCCATTTTATTAGAAACTTAACCAAACAGCAAAGATAAAAAAAAAAGTAGACAAGCGAAGTATCAAAGCGTAATCAACGATGAAAAGGAAATAACAGTAGACAGTTGGAGCAAAAGAGTTAAGATGATTACAATGATGCTACCTTAGAGAACAATTTCATCCAGGCTTCAGCTGACAACCGCTTCACAGAGCCAGCTTTGGAAATCGGTAATTTTCCATGAGAACATTGGATAGATGAATTATCTAAGACACTGCAAGACATCAAACCATCAGCAATAAAGTAAAAATGGGAAAAGAGTGAACCTTGCAACAGTTTTCATGGAAAATTACAAAATATCCACAAAGAGGATTAAATTCAGAAATTTAGTGGAGGTCATGGATGTATCAATGTATGTCTTCAGCTTCCATTTCGGTTCTTGTAAAGGGGTCTCCTACAGAGAAATTTCACCCAGCGAGGGGTCTGAGACAGGGTTGTTCGTTATCGCCACTGTTGTTTAATTTGGCCGGCGAGTTACTGCATCTACTGCTAACTAAAGCAGTTGACATGGGACTGTTTTCAGGTTTTGATTTAGGTGCCCAAGATAGAGCATTTAAACTTTCGCATTTGCAATTTGCGGATGATCTTATTATTTTCAGTAAAGGCTCTTCTCGTGATTTGAGGAATGTTAGAAGAGTGCTATTAATATATGAGTTAATGGTGAAGCTAAACCTAGCTAAGAGCAGCATTTATGGCATCAATGTTGAGGATGGGGTGGTAGCTTCTTGGGCTAATGACATTGGATGTTCGGTAGGTTGTCTTCCATCTGATTATTTAGGATTACCCTTGGGGTACAAGAGGAATTCGGCTGCCATGTGGGATCCAATTGTTAAGAGGTTCCATGTTAAGTTAAGTGGTTGGATGTCTATTTCCCTGTCGCTTGCTGGAAGGGTGGTGTTGGTTAAATCAGTTCTGTGCTCGCTCCCCGTTTATTTTCTTTCAATTTTCAAAATTCCAGCTTCATTTCTGTGTTAAAGAAATTGAATTCCATAATGGCTTCATTTCTGTGGGGGGGGGGGCAGCGGATCAAAAATGTATCCACTGGTTAAAGTGGAATTCAGTTAGTAAACCAAAAAGGATGGGGGGTCTAGGGGTCCCGAACTTATCTCTTTTGAACAGGGCCTTATTGGGGAAATGGGTTTGGAAGTTTGCATCTGAGAAGGAGTCTTGGTAGAAGAGGGTGGTATGTGGTGTGTATGACATGGAACCGAATTGTATAATGTTGGGGAATTCGTGGCCAGCCCGTGCATCATGGATTTGGAGAGGTGTGGTGAAGAATTTCTTTACAGCTGATGGATTTGGGGATTATATTAGGAAGAATATGCGTCTGAAGACAGGGAAGGGGAACTCTGTGCAGTACTGGAATGATGTTTGGCTGGGTGATGTACCTTTGAAAATAAGGTTTCCTAGACTCTATGTTCTCTCGAGCAACAAGTTGGGGAAAGTAATGGAGTTTAGGGTCAATAATGGCGCTGGCTGGGTGTGGGACATTCAAATGAGGAGGAATTTGGCGGATTGGGAGGTTGAACAACTGCTACAGTTGCTGTCCTTATTGAACAATTTTCCTATTACGCCATGTGTAGATGATTGTTGGATTTGGTCAGGGAATGGAGAAGGTTGTTTTTCAGCTAAATCTTGCATGAACGTTTTCCTCGATCAAGATGGTACTCAGCAGGAGGAGATATGGGAGAGGCATATTTGGGTTGGGATAGCTCCTCCTCGGGTGGAGTCATTTATTTGGCAAGCTGCTCATCAGCGAGTGGCGGTTAAGGTGGAGTTACTGAAGCATGGTGTGGCAGGGATAGTCGATTCTTTATGTTCATTGTGTGGTCAAGAAATGGAATCAGTCTCGCATCTATTCTTGCATTGTGAGGTCGCCTGGAGTCTGTGGCCTAGATTCTTGAATTGTTGGAATTTGTCTTTCGTGATCCCTAGAAATATCATCGGCTTTTTTAATTTGTGGGATGATTTACTTCCGAAGTCTTTGATATGGAAATTTATTCCAAGGGCGTTGATGTGGTCAGTGTGGAAATGTAGAAACGAGGTAGTTTTTCAGAAAGCAAAGCTAGATGTGGTGAGACTGTTCTTTATTGTTCATTTTAGAATAGCTTCCTAGTTTGTTGCTAAGCACAAGGATGTGAATATCCCTTTAGATTCACTTGTGGGCGATTTAAAACTTGTTGATTTAGTGGGTAGACAAGGAAATGGTATTCCTAAATCAATTTGTTGGGTTCTTCCTCCGGATGGTTTTTTAAAGCTTAATTTTGATGGAGCGATGGCTAAGGGCTGGGATAAAGGAGGTATTGGTGGTCTGATCCGGGACAGCAAAGGGGCGTTGCTTCATTGGTTTTCTGAGAGTATTGGGGGTGGTCCTCCTATCTTGGCTGAATTATTGGCGATTAAGAGAGGGTTATGTCTTCTGGATGATTTAAACTCTGTTATTTTTCAGAGGACTATTCTTGAATAAGATTCAAGCACTGCTCTGAAGTGGATCTTGAATCCGGGGTTATGCACTCCTATGTTTCAAGCATTGGTGAAGGATATTGTCTCCCTTTTGTCAGGGAAGGATATCATTTTCAAGCATATTTTGAGGGTTGCAAATTGGGAAGCTGACAAACTAGCTAAAGATGGGATAGGGTGATGTTATGGCGTATGTCTGTTTGGGTTGAGGTGTAGGAGTTTTATTTTTTATGCTTAGCTACTGTGTTTAAGTTTTATGTATTTTTGGGTTGTGTTTGCAGACGCTTTGGTCTGCTTTTGTTGTTCTATTTGTTTCCTCTAATATATTTTAGGCACTTTTTTCCCCTTTTTCGTCCTTCATGTTACTTGCACAACATGGAGGGTGAAAAACGGGGTTTTTAATGAGGCCTAATTTTCTATCAAAAAAAATTACAAACTTAAGTAAGATCACTGATACACATTATTCCACACCTTAGAGAACAATAATCAACATCCACATGTGCATGAGCAGATTATAAGACCAGGTTTCAATAAAATGTGGCACTGTACTTACGGTGGAGAAATATTATCAGCCCATTGACGAAGCCAATCAGTGCAAATCCAATAGAATGGTTCTTCAACAGAATGAACGGGAGCTTCAGATAGCACTGATCTCACTTCCTGTCTCCTTTCAGCTATGTGTTCTAGTTCTCTTTTCTTTTTCAATTTGAATTGTTCACAAGCATCAACATATGATGAATTCAAGTTTGTTATCTCCTGACAAAGATGAGATGGAAGCAAAATTCCATCATGTAAGAAAACTGCATCCCCTTCTATTTCCATTGTGTTGGCACTATTCTTCTTAACACAACTAAGATTATACATTAGCATGTAGGCATCAGTAGATGAAAACATCTCTACATGACTCCCACCACTAGATTCTTCATGTTGCAGCTTAATGGGATCCAAATGATTTCCATTTGCAGTGCCACCGACTCCTATGCAAGACGAATGAAATGGATCGGTTCGATTAGATTTAGTATAGGAAGTTGAAGAGCCTTCTCCAATGGATGATGACCCAAGTTTGAGACATGCTCATCATCAAACTCCCACCACTGCCTTGTATTCTCATCCTTAATATGAGCTATGTAGTGGCCACTGTTTGTGGCAGTTCCTTTGTGAATAAGAACTGCTGACAAGTCGTATATTAACTCCACTTGAGAAGGCTTCGACAACCTCCCCCGCATATCTAGCTTCCCAGGAAAGGAGAATACAGAAGTGATCTTCTTCTTTGACGTAGTCTACTGACACATTGAAGAACCCAAAATATTAATAATGTTATGACTGTTTGATGAAGCATTCTACTGACAGGAGCTTCTACTACAGACAACACAAAATGGAATTGGTTGTGCATCAAGTTAAAGGTTACAATAAAAAGGAAGGATCTGCTAAAATTAATTGTAAAATGTTAAAGCAAAGAGCAAATTGATACCAAATACACCATCAATTACCTTTTGAAGGAAATCATAGCGCTTAAGCTGGAAATTAAGCACATTAGGCAGTGAGCGCAGCTTGATACTGCGAGAAGCATCAACTCTTGTGTTGCATGACTCACAAAAATATTGATTATCGCCATGCAGCTCTTCCACGCTCAGGTAATCAGTTAAACTCTCTTCTAGAGTTTTCAGGCCCTTGACATTCAACTCAAGCTCATAAAAATCTTCCATATTTGAAGAAGCTTCAGAATCTTTGCCACATTTTGAGCACCTATGAAAGCAGGATAACATAAACACATTCGTCTACCTCTACTATAGTTGCATCCATATGGTTAATAGCAAACTTACAGTTTCAAATACCATAAGCAGGAAGACCATTTATATACATATATATAAATATTCAAAGGTGTAAGAAAATAAATGGGTGAAAGGTAAAATGCATACCTCAGTACAAATTAGTAACACTGAAAAAAACCAAGATATTAACAAATAACCTCACCACAGAAAGTGGATGCAACTTGATTAATGAAATGTTTATAAGGTAGATGCTATAATACAGGAGGCTTGTAAATAGTAGATGATCAATAAAGGCTGTTGATTCATGCACCTCATATAATGTTAAGCCAAGCATAACAAAGACTTAGACTAAAGCAAGTTCACATTGAAGGAATTGTTTGAAATAAGGCAACGAGTAAGTGCATTCATGGTAACTTAAATGAACCTTAATCATGTGCATTTTAGAACAAGGATTCCCAAAATAACATAAATTCAGTGTGATCTAAAACTCACATGAAGGAAGAACCTCCTAAGTGGACAGAAGTAAACAAGAAAAAGTTTTAAATGGCATGCAATCCCTCTTAAAAACATCATACAAGTAGTGCAAACTATTTTTTCCCTCGATATTAAAGAGTGGGTTATATTATTAAGCTCTCTCAGTTTTCTTCCCATTTTAGGTTAGTTAATCCTTTTTCTCGATCATAATATGAAGATCTTATATAAGCCTCTAAAACATATCAAACCAAGTAGACAGAAGAAAAGTAGAAATCATGCCATGGGGAAATAGAAAATTATAATTGGCAAACTAGCAAAGATGAAATCAGTCTTACATTGTAACATGTGATACACTTCCTCGAAAGAGATCTTGAACAATTGTCCTTGCCTTGGGAATTTTAGAATCACTTAGACATTGTTCAAGCAAAGAAAAAAGCAAGGTCAGAAATTCATGGCTGTCCTGTTGAACTCCATTATCTAACTCAAGTGTTTTTATAAATGGCGCAGAGTCAATGAAAGCCATTTTACTAGCATACAGTTGCGCAAAAAGTCGTGTAAGTTGATCTAAGACAGGATGTTTATTCAAAACATCAGGTTCAACAGAGAAAACACCTTGTCGAAATGATTTGTTCATGTACAGGCACTGTAGAATGCTGTTAGCATAGCATGTTGCACCCAGATTTGTAAGACCAGCAGGTGAATGAGCAGAAGTACGGAGATCTTTACATGGATCTGGACCAAGGGCCTGGACAATATCCGAATTTTTCTGCCATAAGCCAGTTTTCCTACTTCCATTTGGAGATGGAGTCAACCCACAAAAGCAATTAGGGTTGTCCTTAGTATTCACACGACATCCCTGGCAAACCGGTTTAGTGATCATGTACAGCTGATTTACATCATCATCAGTTATTTCACCTGTCAGATGAATTTTCCTGCACGAAGAAAATAAAATACATAAAGAACACTAATATAAAGATTAACAACTCTCCTGTGCCCCGTGGGAAAAAAATAAGTAAAATAATTATGTCTTAAATAGAAAACAGATAGTACCTTAATATTTCAGTAGTTGTATCATCATTCTCCACCTGCCTGTTTCTTTTATTTTTACTTCGGGTTGTTGGTCGGCTCATTTTATCATTGACCGACCCTGTTGTGGGCACAACAAAGAGAAATTTGTCATGTGATGCTGTTACGGAATAAAGCAAAATTGTAAGTTTAACTGAGAGCAGACTTAGAGCATAAGCATTAAATTCACAAGACAATGAACTGAGAAACGAAATAAGATGATGGAAACAAAAACTCCAAGAGACACTATTGGGACAGCAACCAGTATAACATTTATTGGCAATATAAGGAACAGTTCCAATCCATCATCCGCTACCGCTAGGGAACAGCGGGATGAACAAATTTCACGTCAATAGCAGCGGAACAAGGCCACGAATGGCAGTGTAACGGAAAATAAGGGTCCCCATTTCCGCTAAACCTTTCAAGAAAAATTATATTCTTCCGAACAAAGTAAACAGAGAGAGAACGTGATCAACAAGTAGTAGGATTGACAAGAGGAAAATCAAATATAGACCAGAAACACAAGCCGAGCCAGGACTGAAATCCCAAGACTCGAGTATAAATCTTCAAGTTAAGTTTAGGGTTCCGAAATTACCTTGTTTAATTTTCTAGGCTTTGGAACGGTCTGCCGGAAAATTGAGTGCAATAGAGGGATTGGAACAGCGAATAAAGGATAGGGCGTGGAATAAAACAGGGGGAAGAGAACGAGGAGACTGGAACAAGCGGTGATGAGAGGCTTCTTTGGCGGGGATGTGAAGAGAGCGGGTCGGGAATTTTTAGGGAGGAAAAATGAACATTTCCGTATATATGGAAAACTACGCGATTAGTCACCGAATTATTGTTTTTTTTTAATATGATAACTGTTCATTTTGTAATTGATAATTCAATTTTATTATTGTATATTATTTGTTAATGATGTAATTGGAAATTTCCTTTTAAATAAATCATTAAATCAGAATTTTTTGCCCTTAACGGGGATTGAGATTTATTCTTTGTTGAAAATTAATGATGCACGACATCTTGGTTTTGAATTAACTGATTGTGGTGGTATCCCGCGGAATGTTCATGAAAAATAGATAATAAGCTTCACGAAAATAATTATATTTATTCAATTTTAATACGGAGTTATGAGATGTGTATGAAGGATCGTCTGCAAAGAAAAAGGAAGCGGGCCTGAGAAATCGAATTAGCCAACTTGAAGCTTCTCCAATCACGTACGATACAGAGGAGAATTTGTTGGCTGCTAGAGGAGAGCTAAGGGACCTAATTAACAAAGATGAAATTTATTGGATCCAACGGTCAAGGGTGGCCTGGCTACAAAACGGGGACAGAAATTCAAATTTTTTTCATGTCAGGCAAATGGCAGGAAAAAGAAAAATTGGATTAAGAGGCTTGATGGTAAGAACTGCAGCTGGGTCGATCAGATTGAAGACATTTTTAATGTTGCTACCGACTATTTCTCCACTTTATTCCGGTCGTCCAATGCTGAACCATCCGAAGTAATTCTCAACATCATTACTACATGCATTTCACCGGAGGAGAATACTAAGCTGTGCGCAGAGTTCACCATCGAGGAAGTCTTGAAAGCCTTTGCACAAATCAATCCTTCCAAAGAAAACAAGATCACGAATGGAATGACCAAACTAGCTTAGAAAACTATCATTTGGCACAGGGATTTTCCAACGATCACCGACTGAAATAGAGCTCCTGCTGAATGAAGAGAGGCCAGACAGCTTGGTGGATGCTACTGCTACCTTGCATATTGCTTGAGCTCTCTTAGTTTCCTTTTTATTAAAAAAGCATTTTATTTTTTACAGTTTACCCGACAAAATATGTATTCCTCATATTTGTATCACATTTATTACTTTTAGCTATTTAAAGAATAAATAGCATTTTTAAAACTGTCGTAACCGTCTTTCGGTTGGGCCACGAAATTGGGCTTCGACTTGAAAAATGTGATTGGAGTCGCCACCGATTATTTATTTTAAAAAAAATAGGTTAATCAGATACCTTATATCTTATCTGATCTGCGTCTTACCAAAAATATGTCGGATTCGGGAGTCGGTTACGGTCAAGGAAGGATTAGCACCCTTGAACCGCCCTTTCGGTACTACGTAATTTCCAGTTGTTTTTAATTAAGAAAATCGAAAGTTAAAATTTAAAGGTAACATATGATCCAAAATTACTTACCTCCGATCAATTTGAAAGAGTACCCTTAAAAAGTCGAGAAACGCGTTAAAGGAAAAAGGAAATAAGAGTAAATGAAATAAAGAAAATAGAAGGGAAAAAATTAAAAAAATGATGAAAAACTAAAAGAGGAATAAAAATATATAATTATTAAGTACAAAATAATAATAATGATAATAAGTAGTAAAATAAAAACGCAATCACACCAAAAGAAAGTAAAAAAAGAAAGTCAAGGTTTGGTGAAGTATAACTGTCGGGAATAAAAAATACGATAAGGGGTAGGACCATAGTTAATAAATGAGTGTGATGTATCCCTATAATATAGTAAGAATGAATAAACAAAAAATATTATGATATAATATATATATATATATAATATAATAACGAAAAAAAATAATTTAATAAAGTAAAATAATAATAATGTAATATAATATAAATACATGAAAACAAAAAAATAAATAAGTATAAAATATAAAATATAATTAAATGTATATATGCATATGTTTAAAAAAAGTAAAAATAAAATATAAAATATAATAAAATATATAATGATAATAATAGTAGCAAAAGAGAAATATATTTATACGTTAATAGTAAAATAATAATAAATATAATAGTTATAAATATATATATATATATAATAAATTTAAAAAACATTAAAATAATATTAGAATAAAAATAATTAATATATATATACTTAATAATATGAATTATCAAAAAGAAATAAATAAAAATATGAAAATAATACATAAGTGACCGTTCATCGGCGGCAAACCTCGAAAAAAAATTAATTTTTAAAAGCCTTTTCTTCCCTCGTTTTAAATATTCTAGTATTTTTCCAAAACGGTCTCGGGGTTGTGTAGATCTAAAAGAAAAGTTTCGAACGACAACCCCTTTTCCTCGGCCAAAACTGTTTTTTTCAAGCACAAAGACGAATAACAACACATGCAAGTGAAGAAAAGAATGCGAAAGGTAAAAGCTTTCACCTTTTATTGCTCCTGAATTGTCGAAAAAAAATTAATTTTTAAAAGCCTTTTCTTCCCTCGTTTTAAATATTCTAGTATTTTTCCAAAACGGTCTCGGGTTGTGTAGATCTAAAAGAAAGTTTCGAACGACAACCCCTTTTCCTCGGCCAAAACTGTTTTTTTCAAGCACAAAGACGAATAACAACACATGCAAGTGAAGAAAAGAATGCGAAAGGTAAAAGCTTTCACCTTTTATTGCTCCTGAATTGTTTACAATAACTTCAAAACAATCTATTTGCTCGTATTTTTTTTCTGGTAATTTCGTATGCCCATCGTGTGTTACAATAGTGAGCTACAATGGCTATTTATAGTGCTTGTGGATCCTATCTTTAGGAATTTAAATCTTAGTAGAACTCTATCCTATTTTTAGGAGTTTGAATCCTAGCAAAATGTTATCCTATTTTTAGGAGTTTGAATCCTAAAATTCTATCCTATTTTTAGGAGTTTGAATCCTAGTAGGACGAAAAATGTGTGTTGACAGCTGCCCCTCTTTGCCCATAGTCGTGTAACGGGGATAGGGCAAAGATTAAGAGACACACTTTTCGTTCAGTGGAGTTGAAAATTAACTTTGATGTTTCAATAACTCCCTCTCGAATTGAGTTACGGATGACTCCTCCATCGTGAAGTCGAGTTCATCTTGAAATGATATGAAATTAAAGCCGTAGTTCGGAATTTGAATCAGCACGTGGCTTCCCGTTACCCATCGGTCTTCTTCTCGGTTTAAAGACCTTGGATCGGAATCGAACTCAGAAATCTTCATTGACAGATAGCTTTTTCTTGACTTAAGCTATGCTGTTTGAAAATGGTTGCTTGTCACTAAGGCACGGCTAACCCAAGTCCTCTTCTCGACTTGAAAACCTCGACTGCAACCGGAAAGTAGTGCGATTGATGTGTCATCGAGCTGAATGGAGTTGAATTCGACAATTTTGATGGCAGATAATCCTTCTTTGAGTTGGATATCCTTCGTCGTGAAGTTGAAATCCAAGTAGGTAGCATTGTTCCAAGTCCAATATCCTCCGTCGTGAAGTTGAAATTGGCTCTGGAACTGGGATATTGTTTGTTGACAACCAGCCGTCCCTTCGTTGTGAAGTTGAACTTGTGTTGTCTCGAGTCCAATATCCTTCGTTGTGAAGTTGAAATTGAATCTGAATGAAATTTTGTTGACAAGCAGCGGTCCCTTCGTCGTGAAGTTGAACTTGCATTGTCTGGAGTCCATATCCTTCGTTGTGAAGTTGAAATGGCTCTGAGATTGGGAAGTTGTTGTTGACAAGCAGCGGTCCCTTCGTCGTGAAGTTGAACTTGCATTGTCTGGAGTCCAATATCCTTCGTTGTGAAGTTGAAATTGGCTCTGAGATTGGGAAGTTGTTATTGACAAGCAGCGATCCCTTCGTCGTGAAGTTGAACTTGCGTTGTCTGAAGTCCAATATCCTTCGTTGTGAAGTTGAAATTGGCTCTGAAATTGAGAAGTTGTTGACAAGCTGCGGTCCCTTCGTCGTGAAGTTGAACTTGCGTTGTCTGGAGTCCAATATCCTTCGTTGTGAAGTTGAAATTGGCTCTGAAATTGAGAAGTTGTTTGTTGACAACCAGCCGTCCCTTCGTTGTGAAGTTGAACTTGTGTTGTCTCGAGTGCCACGATATCCTCCGTCGTGGAGTTGAAATCGCGGATGGCCCCTTCACTGTGAAGTTGAGCCTTGACTTGAATATCCTTCGTCGTGAAGTTGAAATCCAAGTATTGTATGTTGCGGGTGGACACAATTCCCTTCGCCGTGAAGTTGAAACTGTGGAGACCCCTTTATTGTGAAGTTTGGCTTCGAGCTAGATATCCTTCGTCGTGAAGTTGAAATCCACTCTCGAGCAAATCGTGTCGCTTTGAGTTCAATATCCTTCGCCGCAAAGTTGAAATTGACTCTAGCTAAAACCTGAAAAAGTTATGCATATATGTGATGCTATGGATGCAATGCTCTTAGGTGTGCCTAAAATGCATATGCAACATATGTTATCTTGGGGCTTTAGAGAGAAATCTCGATCTCCAGTTGCCTGTCTGGAATCTTGATTCTTGAATCTTCAAATTTTGATCCCTGATCTTGAATTCTTCAAATGTTCAAATCTGATGTGCACATTCTATTTTTGATTTGAGAAATGCTTCTCGACCATCTCAAGTATGTGCCTGAGCTGAGTGTAACGGTTCAGATGATGCTTCAAAGAAGTTGTCTTGAAAGAGATAGAATTCGTTTCAAGGGAAACGATCTCAAAGATATCTGTTGTTTCATGAGAAACGGTCTCAAGGGAAACAAAATTATGTTTTAAGGGAAATAAATTTGAAGATTTTGTGTTTCAAGAGCAACTGTCTCAAGATAGACGAAAATTGATTCAAGAGAAACTGTCTCAAGAGAGACAAAACTTAGTTCCAAAAGAAACTGTCTCAAGGGAGACGAAATTTGTTTCAAAGAAAACATATTCAAATATTTTGTTTCAAGGGAAACTGTCTCAAGATAGACGAAATTTGTTTCAAGAGAAACTGTCTCAAGAGAGACAAAAT